AAAAAAAAAAAAAAAAAACAGAAAACATGATGAAAGATTCACTTCACACCTTACACAAAGTAAAGGTACAAAAGAACACCTAAAGATAATATAGCTTTTTATCCTTCTTAGATTTGATTTGATTGACATTTTTACTTGCACTATGAACTTAGATTCGACATGAATTATGATGAGTCAAATGTTAGACACAAGACATCAGCATCAATCTGTAATCTGTAATAACCATAATCACTGGATCATACAAGAACACCAAAGGTCAACCTTTCATTAATAGCTACAATAAAGGCCTCATTAATACACTCAACGACCGGATTCAGGGACAGGGACAGAGAGAATAAAAAGATGAAAATCAACACTGAACACAATCAAAACGAAACCAGCTCAACAAGATAAGAACTCACCGGCCAAACGTGCTGGTAACCTGATTTTTGGGCTTGCCATATGAAATTCACGAAAGCGGACAAAAAATCCGAATCGGAGTCTGGGTCCGAAAACCCAGTTGCATTGCGGGACAAAGATTTCTGCTTGAAGCTCCTGTCCGCTGAAACAAGAATCGAAGCCAATACGAAGCTCCAAACCACCGTAAAAAATGGTCCGAAGGCCTTCCATCTTTCCAGATTCCCTGCCATTCTACAGTATCTCCAAGATCGCACCTTTCGGACGATTTATTTAAACAAAAGTGAAATTCACCTTTTTATTACACTTTATGAATCTTTTTCCCCACGATTTTAGATTTGGGGTGGAATGAACAAAGCAAGAACAAAATGAAGTTACAATTCTTTGTACGAGTGTGTGTGTGTGTGTGAGAGAGAGAGAGAGAGAGGGATTATTACGATGAAGAAGGTGGATGGTAAGAAAATATTGAAAAGGTGCCATAAATAGAACAAGTGGAGGGGTGGGACAAGGCAATAGAGACATAGCACTACCAAACGATGTCGTTTGGTAGCTACAGTGGGCCAAAATGTCCACTGTCTCACACGTCTCACTCAAGTGGAGAACTGGAGATTAATATTTTAACCTGATAAGTAAGATTCACTCCTTTTTCCGGGTGAAAAAATGTTTTGACACACAAAATTATGAAGTTGTACGGTTTAAACAAACCTTAATTGGACTTAAGTGATTGACGTATGATCATGATTGATTGTCCTTTTTTCCTTTCGCGAGTTAGAGGATAGAGATTGGGGGGGATTGCTTAATTTGATGAACTCTTTAAATCCTTTAATCCTTTGGACCAATCATGCTCTTTTGATGGTATCCCTTCTATGTGACGATAATGTTAATTCTAATTTGATTAGAAAGGTTGATGAATTATACATTAAGAATGCTCTTTTTGACATGGCTCAAGACAAGACTCCTGGTCATGATGGGTTCACTGCCATGTTCTTTCAACATTCTAGGCCTACTGTGAAATTTCATGTGTGTCTTGTTGTGGAGAACTTTTTTGCTAATGGGAAAATTCCTAGGGGTTTGAACCATACTGTTATCCAAAAAACAAAATCCTATTAAAGTAGATGATTTTAGTCATGTTAGTTTATGTATTGTAGTTTATAGATTAATTGCTAAAATTATTGCTAATAGATTGAAACTTGCTCTTCCTTCTTGTATTTCCAAATCTCAATCTGCTTTTGTGCCTGATAGACAAATACTAGATTATGCCATCATTGCCAATGAATGCATTCATTTCATTAATAGTAAAAGAATAGGCAAAAAGGCTTATACGACTGTAAAGCTTGACATGACTAAAGCTTATGACAAGGTAGAATGGGCATTTATAGCTAGGGTCTGTATGAAAATGAGTTTCTGTGATACTTCTGTTCTGCCTTATACTCTTTCAATGTGAATGGGGCTCCTATGGGTTTTATTCTGCCTACTAGAGGTTTAAGGCAAAAAGATCCTTTATCTCCTTACCTTTTTATTAGTCTCAGAAGCTTTTTCCAATCTAGTCAATTAATCTTGTATGTCTGGTATGTTTAAAGGGCTTAAAATAGGTCTTCATTCTCCTAGTATTTCTCATCTTCTTTTTGCAGCCTGTCAGGCTGATGTCCATCATGCCAATGTAATTGTTTCTATTTTGTCTAAATATGGTCATGAATTCTGGTCAGTTAGTCAATTTTGACAAGTCTTCCATCTTTTTCTCTAAGAATATGAAGGAGGAATCTTGTGGAAACATTTGCTCAGTTTTGGCTGGAATTTCAAGAGTTAACTCTGCTAAATACTTGTGATTACCACTAGGTATAGACAGGTCCAAGAGGGAGACATTTGGGTTTGTGAACATGTTCAAAATCAAAATAAAAATTGGAAAAATTAGTTTTTGAGTGAAAATGGTAAGGAGACTTTGATCAAATCTGTCCTAAATGCTCTCTCTACCGACATTATGTCTTGTTTATAGGTTCCTTTGTCTATAGTTAAGAAAATTTGCCAGGATATTGCTTCTTTTTGGTGGGGTCATAAGGAGAGTGGGGGCAACATAATGCATTGGGTGGGGTGGGATAAATTGGTGAGAGAAAAAGAGCAAGAAGGATTGAGTTTAAGGATTGGATATTTATCACTCAACCTAATTTGTTAGTTAGTAGAGTCATAAAGGGCAGATATTATTGGCAGACTGGGATGATGAGTGTATCTTATAAACCTCATGACTCTTGGTTGTGGAAAAGCCTATTGGGGGTTAGAATATTTTTAGAAATGGGAGTTAAGTTTAGGGTGGGGGGTGGGACTAGCATTTCAATTTGAGATTCTCCTTGGATTCGGTTAAAGCATCTTTTTAAACTAATTTGTATATTCACTGTTGATAGAGTGAGATTGAAAAAAATGAGTGACCTGATGAATGAAGGAAAAAGAGAATGGGATCATGATCTTATATATCAAACTTTTGAACATGAGATTGCAAATACAATTATCAAGATTCCTTTGGTTGCTAATGAAGGCCCTGACAGATTAATATGGCATTGGCATCACAAGGTCAATTTTCAGTGAAAGAAGTGTACAAAACAATAAGGAAACAGAAGGTTCAATCTCAGGTGATGGCTAGTTCAATCTTGGATCCTGCCCAATTACAGAAGATGTGGAGAGTCACATGGAAGCAGAAGATTAAACCAAAGGTGAAGAATTTTTTCTAGAGATGTTGGTATGATTATATTAGTTCTAAATTACAACTGCAGAGAAGGGGTATGGTGGTGGATGTGATTTGTGCTAACTGTGGAGAGGCAGAGGAGTATTTAAATCATATCTTATTTAACTATTCTAAAGCTAAGGTATGTTGGAAGATCGGTGGAATCAAGTGGAATTCTCAAAATGCTGGAATGGTCAATTTTCAATTTTGGTGGCCGCAACTTTGTATGTCTGGACCTATGGTGCTTAGGGAGGAGATGTTGGGATTTTCTGCCTTTTTGTTGTGGAACTTGTGGAAAGCCAGGAGTAAGTGGCTTTACTAGGGTGGCTGGATACATGAGAAGATTATTGTGGAGGAAGCAAAGGTAGAATGGAGGGAATGGATAGAACCGTACAAGCACTACCCATTTAGCAGCAGCAGAACACAGTCATCTCTACATTCTCACCAAGATAAGTTTTCCCAAGAAGTAGGTGTCATTTTTACTCTCAGTGCTTCATTATCTGGTGAAGGGAGGTTTAATGCACTTTGGAACATAAGGGGAAAGTTCAATTTATGTGGAATAATGTGTTACATGGAGTTGCATCACAAGAGGAGGCTTGGGCTACTTTCTATAAAGTGGAGCTTGTCTAGGGCTAAGGAACAAAATTGCATGCACTTCACACTACTTCTCCACTCAGTTGAATTATGGATGTCATTAATAGATGTATGCAGCATCTGTAAGAGACTAATCAAGACCTGTTGGATAATAGACACCTTTATTGCATTGTTATGCTAATGTTGACTCTATTTTTTAAGATTGTTGTTGTTTTTCTTTGAACTAAGGCAGTCTTTCCTCTTAGGGTATAGTTATCTATTTACCCGTGTTCCTTTTGTCTACCCAGTAGGCCTTATGATTGTAATCACTTGATTACTCTGTACCATTATTCTAAATATCTCAATTAATATAAGTTTACTTGTTTGTCGTTGGAAAAAAAAATCAAAACATTTTACGGAATGAATTATATTTTTCTCTTTCTAGAAATCCTGCAAGGAGCTCCGATATATCTTTTTCTCTTTTTTATTGTTACTGAATCTCTTTCTGCCTTAATTAGTACTGCAGCAAATGGAGGAGTTATTAGAGGTTTAAGATTGGCAATAAGAGGTCCTTTACTGACACATCTTTTATTTGCAGATGACCTCTTAGTGTTTGACAATGCAGATGTGTGGTATACATTGTTACATAAGGATATCCTTCAGTTGTACGAGAAATTTTCTGGTCAAAAGGTCAATCTGACTAAGCCTACATTATTTTTTAGCAAGAATACCTCTGATCCTGTAAGAACCAGCATTTGTGAAGTGTTAGATGGGTTGACAGCTCATAATTCTTCAAGGTATCTGGGAATCCCTTTTTGGATTGGCAAATCTAAAAGGTAGGCTTTTGAGTTTGTCATTGATTCTGACAGAAAGAGGCTTGTAATCTGGAAGAACAAATACCTGTCAACAGTAAGTAAATAAATGTTAATTAAAGTTGTCATCAACTCACTACCTGTATTTGTTATGTCGTGCTTCAAATTAACTGGAGGGATTTGTAAGTAGTTAGTATGACAGCTCATTTCTGGTGGAGTAAGAGAAAGGATCAAGAGAGGGGCATACACTAGAAGAACTGGAATCTACTAGCCCCTACCCAAAAGGAAAAAAAATAAAAAAACAAGGAGGGCGGGGGTTCCAAGATATCAGGCTGTTTAATGAGGCTTTACTGCTGAAACAGT